GTCGGACACTTAACCGACTGCGCCACCCAGGCGCCCCTAGAAGGACCCAACTTTTAAAGCTATTGCCCTCTCTCCGACTACTCCCTTCATTCATCCTTGAAATTCTCCCTTTCCTTGAATCCTATGACTCCAAGACCTATGTCTCCTATCTCTTTGCTGGTCTTCTGCTCTTTAAGTTTATTTGTTTTGAGAGAGAGACAGAGAGCATGAGTGTAGGGAGGGGCAGAGACAGATGGGAGGGAGAGAATCCCAAGCAAGTTCCACAAGGTCAGCAAAGAGCCTGCTGCAGGGCTTGATCTCATAACCCATGAGATAGTGACCTGACTCAAGATCAAGACTCAGATGCTTAACCGCTGAGCCACCCAGGTGCCCCACCTTCTAAATATGTTTTGAATCTATTTTTCCATTACATTTCATGCCTGCCTTCCTCCACCCCCATGAATGGATTTCTTTTTGGTAACTAGATAAGATAGCTAAAATCCAAAATCACAATATAAAAGACTGTTGCGCATTCAGGCTTAAAAAATAATTCCAGGGGCATCTGGGTGACTCAGTCGGTTAAGTATCGGACTCTTCATTTCAGCTCAGGTTGCGATCTCACAGTTTGTGAGTTCACGCCTCACATTGGGTTCCAAGCTGACAACGCGGAGTCTGCTTGGGATTCTTTCTCTCCCCCTCTCTCTAGCCCTCCCTGGCTCAAGCCTGCACTGTATCTCAAAATAAACTTGAAAAAAAAAATCCATTTTACCACTTTTGAAGAACTAAAAGTGCCTTTTAAAAAATGTTTATTTATTTTGAAAGAGAGAGAGAGAGAGCATGAGCAGGAGAGGGACAGAGAGAGAGGAAGAGAGAGAATCCCAAGCAGGCTCCATGCCGTCAGCACAGAGCACGACACAGGGCTTAACCTGAAAACCATGAGATCATGACCTGATCTGAAACTGAGTCAGACGCTTAGCTGACTGAGCCACCCAGGTGCCCCCACAAGTGCCTTTTGATTGCTCAGTCCCAAGGCTCCTTTTTCAAGGACAGACTGGTTCCTTGTATCTTCTTTTCTCTCATCTGAGATCTTATCCCCACTTTTCTGGTAGCTTTTACTAAAATCCCTTATCACAAAGCAAAGAATTAAATGAATCCTTCAGGCCTGTGAAGTAAAATAAAAGCTCTTATGCCCTCTGCCCAGCCCATACCAGCGAAGTAAAACTCACTGGAAATTAACTATTAGACTATCATTCACCTGAAAGAAAATAGGTAAGTCTAAAAATAAATTAAAAACAAAGCACCTATCGGGGCGCCTGGGTGGTTCAGTCGGTTAAGCATCTGACTTCAGTTTAGGTCATGATCTCGTGGTTGGTGAGTTCGGGCCCCACATCCAGCTCTATGCTGGATAGCTCAGAACCTGGAGCGTGCTTCAGATTCTGTGTCTCCCTCCCTCTCTCTCTGCCCCTCTCCCACTCGCACTCTGTTTCTCTCTCTCTCAAAAATAAATAAAACATGGGAATGCAAGCTGGTATAGCCACTCTGGAAAACAGTATGGAGGCTCCTCAAAAAACTAAAAATAGAACTACCCTATGACCCAGCAATTGCACTACTAGGCATTTATCCACAGGATACAGGTGTGCTGTTTCTGAGGGACACATGCACCCCAATGTTTATAGCAGCACTATCAACAATAGCCAAAGTATGGAAAGAGCCCAAATGTCCATCAATGGATGAATGGATAAAGAAGATGTAGTATATATATACAATGGAGTATTACTCAGCAATCAAAAAGAATGAAACCTTGCCATTTGCAACTATGTGGAAGGAACTGGAGGGTATTATGCTAAGTGAAATTTAGTCAGTCAGAGAAAGACAAATATGATATGACTTCACTCGTATGAGACTTTAAGAGATAAAACAGATGAACATAAGGGAAGGGAAACAAAAATATATAAAAACAGAGAGGGGGACAAAATATAAGAGACTCATAAATATGGAGAACAAACAGAGGGTTACTGCA